ATAAAAAAAAAAAAAAAAAAATTAAAAAAATAAAATAAAATAAAAAATTAAAAACGAAATGAAAAGTTCGGGTAGGAGGGGAAAATAAATAAATTAAATTAAAAAAACAAAAACAAAAACACAAAAAATTAAAAAAAAAATAAAAAATGTAAATGAAAAGATTAGGGGGGAGGGAAGGAAGAGAATAGAAAAAAAAATAAATAATATTAAATTAAAAAAAATAAAAACAAAAATAAAAAAAAGTAAAAAAATAAAAAAAATAAAATTTAAAAAATAAAATTAAAAAAAAAATTAAAAAATGAAAATAAAAAGATTGGAGGAGGAGAAGGGAAAAAAGAATAAATAAAAAAAATAATAAGAAAAGATCAGAGAGAAAGGAAAGGAAATATAAAAATTAAGAATTGCTTTTAAATCAACTCAAGTCAAGTCAGTGATAGTAAATGACCCAAATGATCTCAAATGACTCAAATGACTGGTTATGTATCATTTGGGTCATTTTAACATTAAATGATAAATGACCAGGTCATTCAAAAATTATATCATATGATCTCAATAATTCTGATCAAAATAATTATGTTTCGAATATTTTCTTAAATTTTTCATGTGATATAAATTTGTAATTCTGGTTAAAATATAAAATTTGGTTTGTATTATATTTAAATAACCAAATAATAAATGATTTGGTTATTCAAAGATCATTCAGGGATTATTTAAAAATCATCAAATAACCTGGTCATTCCATTATTAAGTCAAGTTGAGTTTAAATTGAGTCGAGTTAAATATTTAACTTGATTTGAATTTATCATAACTTGCAAATCATTAAATCAAAAAATATAAACTTGATTTGATTTAAACTTGACTTGGCTTATTTGATTCGTGAGTTAACTTGACTTATCTAGAACTTTAAATTTAAGATTATTTATCTAAACTCATTTTAAATTCGATAAAATGTCTATATTATAGTTTCGCTAATTTTTTACTAAGGTTTTAATATAGTTTCATATTTTTATAAGCTTTGATATAGTTTTACCTTATCCAGAATTTCGCAGATTTTTTAATAAGGTTTTAATATAATTTTGCTAAATTTTATCTTTTTCTATTTAGATAACTTACAAAACCTCTAAATTTTATCTAGTAATCTTATATAAATTAAAAGGATATTTAATTTAATAAATTCATGAATTTTATAATGAGTGGATGATAAATGAAATTCATGAGTTAACTTCATCTGATTGTATTAAAAAACTTTTATATTTTTTGATATGTTTATAGATAAAAGATGTATAAGAAAAATTGATATAAATTTGATTTATAGATCATTCAAATCTTATGACATTTCAGTTAAAACTGATAGTTTCTGAAAATGATATAATTTTTGATTATGATAGTTTTATAGCAGATAAAGAAAATAATGAGTTAATTGAAAATAATGAATTTCAAGAAAAGGATTATAATAATTAAAATAAAATTAATTTTGCTAATGTTAAAATAAATAATAAAGTCTAAATAAAATTTTATATTTGATAAATAAATATCATAATAATATGTTAATTACATAATTTATATAGTTTTATAGTTATTTCTGATTAAAATAAAACACCCTTATATAAACCATCCAGGTCTTTTAGCCTAAAATCTTAAGGTGATATTTTACATAAAAAGATAATTTAATTAGTACTCTACAATAAATTGTTAAAATATATGCTATCATTTTTAAAAAAATAAATTGATTACTTATTTACCATTAGTTATATTATTATTAAATATATTATTAATATTTAAATTTGCATTTAAAGAAACTGATAAAGTTATTAAAGAAGATGATTTAATTATTTCTTACAAATTATAAAAAATTTCTTAAATTTTAAGCTTCTTTTCTCTTGTAGTAAATAATAAATTTTTAAACTTCAATCTAAATATAAAGCTTTAAGACTAATTTCAAAAGGTACATCCTAATATTTATCTAAAGCTTATAAAATTATAAATTTAACCTAATCAATTATTTTTTATGTATACATAGGTTAATTAATATTAATTTGATGATATGTAATAGGATTGACTATCTTATTAATATTATTTTTTAATTCTTTAAAATAATCTTCTTCTTTTTTTCATTATTCAAAATAGTTATATTATTTGTAAAATCAATATTTCAGTATTGTTATTTTATTATTACTTGAAAAATAATTTTTTAATTATAAAATTATAGAATACATTAAGCTAAGTATAATATAATTATTTCCTTTTAAAATTGTGGTTGCCTCTTCTAATATACTTAGTAAATCAACAAATTTTTCATAAAAATCCATTTTTTATCAAAATTTTTTTAATTAATATTCATCTTTTTTAATATTATTATCCTGATCATATATTAAATCAATTGCTAATTGATCAATAGCATCCTTTAAATAAAAAAAATTCTTAAGTTAAAAATGAGAAATCCTATTTTATAAATATAATAGATTCAAATATTTGAATATTTGATTATCTAATTATCTATTCATAATTAATGATAATTAATTAAATGACTAAATAATCAATTAATATTATTATTTGATCGATTATTATAATCAGTTGATCATATCTGAATAATTTGATTACAGATTGAATAATTTGAAACTCTAAAAATTATAATATAAAACTGAATTTACAGCATTAGACTATATTAAATATATAATTTTATACCTAGTGATCTAGCGATTTTTTATTTATTTATTTATTTATATTTATCTCTTAAACTGTAAAACAGACAAA